TAGATGCTGAGAGCTGGGAGGACAGGGATCGATTTTAAATACAATAGGATTATGTTGGGGCAATTGGGGAAATCTGAAAAAAAGTGTAGATATTAGATAAGATGAAAATGTATTGAAATGGAAAAAGAGAGACACTCAATTAGAAAAGCAAATGCAACAGCTTGTATAATGATATCATTTGACATATATATGTTTTGGACATATATATGTTTCGGACACATATATTTTGTGAAAGAACATACACTAAGGTGTTAAGAATATACACTAAGAATATAATTTCCAGTGGTAGGAATATGAATTTTCTCTAATTTTTGGTTGTCCATATCTTCTAATTACACAAAATGCACTGATGTTTTTTCCATAATAATAAGAAGATATTAAAAATAAAATGTGGGGGAACTCAAATGTCCTAATCACTTGGAAAATAGAACTAATGATGGTGTTAAGACCATATATGGTTGAAAAAGAAGACAGAAATTAATTCTTTTACTACCATCATTCCCATGCCACTTCTCACCAAAGGCAAACATCAGTAACCTCTCCTGACTATTTTGCTAAAGATGCTATGGGATAGGTGTTATTATTATAATAGATTGTATAATATTAACATATTAACACATACTTTATTTTTCAAATCATTTTGAAAGTTTTCTTCCTTGAATCAGGTTTGGGACATGGTATTACTTACACCCTGGTAGTCAGGTGAACTTTATGAGATCAATACACCTGCCTGGGTTTAGGCAGGCTAGTACAGCCTCCAATTTAGGTTTATCCCTGAGAAGCCAAAGGTATCTTGACTAACCAAGAGAAGGACCCTGGTGCAAAGCCCCCTGTGATCCATCCATGTGAATGAGAAGAATAAAGGTGGGTGAATGATTACCACTTAGATTCATTTCTGGTTGAATCTATGAAAGTTAGGGATTAAGAGTTGGACAACCCAGAGAGTGGTGTCCAGGGACACGGACCACAATCCATCCTTGGCCTTGTCACGTTCAACTTTTTTACATGATTACTTAGATGAAGATACAGCATCATCAAACTTGAAAATGACACCAACAAATTTTATGAGAGAATCTAAAGAGATCTCTTCCCATTGGAAACAGGTGAAAAAAAAAAAAAAAAAAAAAAAAAAAAAAAAAAAAAAACCACAATAGCTAAAACTCACATATGCCAGACTCCTTTCTAAGTGCTTTACAGATACTAATTTATTTAATACTAATAATAACCTTTTGGGTTAAGTCACCTATCACCCTATAGGTGATATAGGGATATATCACCTATATCAACTGTTGTCAGAGATCATGCAGGGTAGTGGTATAGATTGTGAAAATTTCTGACAATCTGTCTAAGTTAAAACCTAGCACTGTAGTTATGTTCTGTGTGAACCTGAGACAATTACTTATTCTGTCTATGCCTCAGTGTCCTCATCTGTAAAAATTAGGATAATAGTTGATTCATTCAACCAACATTTATCAAATATCACTCACTCCCTGACCTCAAGGAACTTGCCATTTCCTGAGGAAGGAAGACATGTATTATTCAACTAAATATAAGTCATTCTTCTTTCAGGGCTATAAAGTACTAGATGCATCACTCTTGTGTATAAAAGATATAGGCTGTTGGTTTGAGATTAATACTTAACATTTTGAGAAAAAATATTTTTGTACTCCATTTACAAAAAGTTTTAAAATATGGGTACAGGTGTTTAAATTTCTCAAGTACCATTTAACTAAATACTACTAAATGATCACTCTTCCTTCTGTGATCTTTTGATATGCTGAATTATGGTAACACATTTTCTACACTAAAATATCCTTGAAATTTTTAACCAATCCTAATTAATCATAGCATAGTACCTTCTTAATACTGTGTTGGATTTCAGTTGCATATAGTATATGCAGGATTTTTAAATCTAAGTAAAACTAGTCTTCCAAATGTTTTATTAATAAAATAGATTTTTTAATATCTAAGAGCTTGTTCTTTGCCCAGTATGATTAACTGAGCAATGATTGCTTTCACCAAAATTAAGAGAAAGAAAAATGCCACAAATGTAAATTGCAAATGAGAAGCAGGCAATGCCAACAGAAGCAGAAATTGCAAAACAAATTGTGACCCTTTAAGTTAAAATTAAATCACACTAGTATAATTGAAAAATGATTACATATTTCTACTTTCTATTCACTGGTTTTAAAACCTTTACTCAACTGCTCTTAAAAATCAGTAAAAGTAATTTTTGTTATACTTGACTTTTTTAAAGCCCTACTTTAAACTTTTCCGTAAGGTATATTAAATGTGCCACTTTGCAAATTAACCACTCACAGAGGTTACATAAGAAATGTTTGCCAGTTTAGGCTCTGTAAAGAAAATTTCAGTTTTGGTTTTAGATTCTGACAGATGGATCAGAGAATGTATGTGCACCGTTAGGTAGGACCAGATGTGTTAATTTGATTTCTGAGTTATTTTCTGAAAGATTTTCCACTTTTCAAAGAGCCCAAATTCCACACACATCAGCAAATTTGTGACTACAGAGCTATATTCTCAAGATTTACCAAGTCTTTTTCCCAGTCATGTTTTATGACGTGTTAAAGTTAATAGTAATTGTTTTCAAAGAGGTTTCTTCTATAGAAAAAGATATTCCAAATGGAATTTTAAAAACTGAAGTTTTAAGGTTCTCTTGAAATTAATTCATATCTATTTATAGAAGCAAAGACATAAATTTGCATGGGATTTTCCTTAGTCCAAAATAAGGGCAAGATATCCTAAGATATTCCTAATATTCCTATTCCTCAAGCAAATCTTGTGCTCAGTTTTTCTGAAAATCATCATTTCCTCAGTGTCAATTTTCTTGCATTCCTATGAAACCTACATCCAGGAAGGAATCTGCTCATTGACTTCTAGTTGCCCACCCTTGTCAGAACGGTCCTATCAAGAATGGAAGCTAGTTGGAATTTACTCAGGGTGGGAATAGACAGTACCTCTTCCAAAGTGATTCATTAAGTTACAAAAACATCATATAAGTGGGAGAAAAATGAAGAGTGATGTTCTCTGAGAAGAAATATTTGCTGCTGTCCCCAGAGCAGTAACAGCATAGGTCAGCTTTCTCTACAGTTTTCAAAAGGGTTCATCAACTGTGAAGTCAGTAATAGAATTTAATGCTGCCAAATGCACCCCTTGAAGCTGAGCATTAATGACACAACACCATCATTGTATAGAAACAGGCAAATATATTAACTTAATGATAGGCCAATGGACCCCCTAAGGAATGTAATTATATTGTGCCAGCTCTTGAACAAATGTTAGATCTTACAGAACTGTGTTATTGTTACTTTTTTCCCTCCTCTCAAAGACCTTTTGAAGTGTTCAAAGCAAAAGATGAGAGAAGACGTGTGCTGCCCCCAAATCACAAAGGCGATTTGCTAAAATAAACCAGCCTGGTGCCCACAGAATCTCTACTTCCATTTTTCTCAAACTGAAAGTAGTGTCCACTGGTTTCAAAATTCCCTGTATAAAACAAAATACTCAATTCTGAAACACACCAACAGGCAGACATGGGCGAGACAATTCCAGTCTTACTTACATATTGGTTTCAGAAAGAAAAAAGGAAAAATACACACACAAAACGCAAAAACGCTACAGCTCAGGCTAATACTAGACTATTCTGATTTCCATATTTTTCTCTACCAAAATTGCCTCGGCCTCGAAATAATGTCCTTTCAAAAGAAAATGCTAATGATAATGTGTTAAATGGAAAAAGAAAAATGCAAAATTGTCTACCTGTCAAGCAGTAAAACACATGGTAACAAGAAATATACACAGGTAGACAAGGATAGAAAGATACATGGACAAGGCAAAGGCTGATTTGTTAGAACACTAGTGTGGTGGATGATTTTTTTTTTATTTGAAGTCTTAGTAAAGCATTTTATTTTATTTTATTTTATTTTATTTTATTTTATTTTATTTTATTTTAATTACGAGTCAAAGACAGAGGTCACAAATTGCCAGCCCAGAGACAAAAGCCGTCCCACAACTACTTTTAACAAAGTCATTAATGTTTAACATTAAGGAGATTTTTGCACGAAGCCCTTAATTTTTGGCTTCTAATGAAAAATGGAAAGATGTGGAAAAATCGGGTCCGTATTTCCACATGAGCTCAACCAGCCTGAGCTGTGAGGAGACCATCTGGCCTAGCCACGGTGCTTCCCAGCCAGTTGCCGCAGGCCCCCACGCCCAGCTCATTAACATCAACTGCCTGTGGCACCTGCATACGGGAATTCTAGCAAAGGCAACTGGCTTAAGAAAGTTACCATGACTCCATGCATGTTAATGAGACTTCTCTTTTCTCTCTTCGCATCTTTGCCTTCTGGATACCCCTTCAGTGGTCAAATTAGAAAATGTCTATATATTCACTTTCAGAAGTTACCTAATCTTCTGAGTATATATAGTGTAATAAAAATCTGGCAATTGACTCAGAAGACAGAGCAGTCAACTCTGATGATCATAATAATTAGTAATAATAATAAAAACACTTTGGGGACTGAGTTATCAAATTAGTCAATACTATTAAGTCAATAAGCACCACGCTTAAAAAATTAAATTAAGGGTTAGAACATGTTAGTGTTCTATTAACAAAAATTCCCATGGAAACCAAACCAGAGTAGAATAATAAGAAGCTGGATATATATTCCACTTGCCTTTGATCCTTCTCTTTCTTTTAGGCCTAAGCTAATGGATGTGGTTGTGTTTGTCAAACAAGACACATGGTGCTAAATTAGCCCACTCAAGGAAAAATAAGGTACAAGTTTATCATTTCTAGTGCTCAAAATCATTCCTATGCCACTAAAACAGCAAGCCACCATAAATCTAAATATAAACTGACTGAGTATAAATGCAGATGCATGGACATTTAATAGCACACAACAGAGTGGCATGGTGTTTTTTGGCCTCTGTTTTCTTATAATATTGACATCCCCCCTGGCCTTTGTTAGAGGGACAGTTCTTACCTTGTTAATGGTCCCAGGTCTCCTGAGTCTTGGCTTCCAGCTTCACTGGGAGTGCTCACTGATTTCGAGGAGGGAGACATAGGGGTTGGGACTAAATAATGAAAATAACAGGTATCCCATGTTAAAAAATGCAGCGACTGCACTGGAGAAGAGCAGTGTCAGACAAATCAAAACAAATGGGCCCAAATTAAAGTGGTTGTATGGCCAGGAGAGATTAAGATGGGATAAGGAAAAAAAAAAAAAAAAAAAAAAAAAAAAAAAAAAAAAAGGAAAGAAAAGGAAGAAAGTCAAGTGAATTTTTCATATTTTGGAAATTAAAATTTGAAATGAATTTAGACAGAATTAACTTAGGGATTCTAAGGCCATGTCCACCTTAACAAAGTGAAATGGAGAATCAAAATAGCTATCCAGATATTTCAACTCAAATATCATCTAGGGTGACCTATCCAGATAATTTCAATTCTCCACTTTATTTTGTTAGTATAGATGTGACCTATTAAAAAAGTGGGTGTCTATAAAACTTTGAAACATTATGGAATAAGTAATTCTGAATAATTTTAAATCGTCAAAGAGAGAGAGGAAAGTCTGTTGTATGTCTACATTGGAGGGAAATCAATTCTCTGTGGAATATAAACTGCATTTACTATGCGAGACTAAATGACAGATAGAGAAAGGGTAAATGTTGAACCTGGTAATTTAAAAATCTTTTTCAAAACAAAGGAAAATGCCAGGCGGCTTTATTTTTACATTTAATGAATAGTTTCATCCCATTGTATTGTTTACTGTGTTCGGAACTTGCTTCCCTTTGCCTGCGGCAGCGCTAGAAGGCACTGCCATGGGCACAAAAGTAAACAGCCATTCTAAAGACCGGAGAAATAAGTTCGAAGATTGAGGTCAGTGCAAGCTGAAGATCTGACACAAGGATAAGAAAAGAAAAAAGGTACAGGAAATGTAAATGTATATATATATTTTTTCTGTCCTTCAGGTACAAGCCAAACGTCCTTCAGATAGAAGCTGCACCAAATAGCCAAGATGGCTCCAGGCCAGACAAATTCAGGGGGTTCTCAATATCACACATGCCAGAGAAGCCATATGGGCAGAAAGAAACTTCAATACATAAGTGTAGATTCCCATTTGGTTTCAATCATGTGCAATTTCCTTTTATTTATTTAATAGAGTAAAGGGTTTAACTATTTTGTCCAAATCCTATAACACAATGGCAGATCTGTCATGAAACTAGGAATTTCGTGAGCTCCCATAATTAATTCACTGATTACCCTCTGTAGTAAGTCAGAGGGTAAGTTGGAGAGATGGATGAAAACTGAAAATGGGCACCACTCTCACCAAGTCCCCTGGCAGGAATGCAGGGATAGCTCAGAATTTGGCCATAGTGGTCATGGTTTAGAGATATTTAACTGTTTTGTTCTTAAAGTTTAATTGCTGGCTTTATTTAGAATAGAGGAAAATAGGACATATGACTATGGGGCTTAACCAGTGTTCACACTGCAACAGAATCTCAAAGGCTATTTTGAGGCAAAAACATAATGGATTACTGCAAAGTGTCTACATTATGTCACAAGTCAACTAAGTATTAAGAAGTTTGTCAGCTCCTCAAAGAAGGTCCATCAGCCAAATATCCCAAAGGTTACATCTTCCATACCATAAAGAAGTTAAACGAAGTAACCAACATCTTGTAGGGGCTCCTTCTATAATTGTTAGACATATGATTTTACCTAATGCAAACTGAGGGTCAGTATAAAATACTTTTTTATGGTGTTTTAGTTGTGTGTGTATATATTAAATTATATCCAGTAACACTTAATAATTCATTAGCTTATTACATATTGCTTTTTCTTACTTATATTAATAAAATACTTGTCATTTTGTTGTACATGGGACAATTTTTATTCTTAGTTTAAGTAACTATGGAAATAAATAAAAATTTATTTTAATATAAAAGCCAATGGTGGGATTTAAAAAAACAAACCATTTTGAAATGAAGACTTGATATTGTATCTACTTGTATGCATTATTTTTAAAGTCTTTTTTTTTTTTTTTTTTTTTTTTTTTTTTTTTTTTTTTTTTACTATATTGGCTATCATGTAGTTTCACAGACACCCCAGGATTATCCTGAAATGTATGGAAAGCAAATGGATAAAGAGAAATAAAATAAATGATCACATGAGAGATACACAATGAAGTGACAGAATAAACACATCATGTAGAAGTTTACCTTCAACACAAATAAACCAAATAATTCAATATCCAAACCCTAGTCACAAAATGAGATTGTGGACAATTAACTACAAATGAATGAGTTGGAGGAGGGGTGTTGCAATAAAAATGCCAATTAGCAGTGAAACCAAGATCTACAATAGACTTGAATAAATTTAAACTTGTTAAGTAGCTGTTAATTTGTCACTATTTTAAGTTTTCCTTCACATTTCCCACTGAGCTTTCTATTTTCATCATGGAATAATTCTATGCCTGTAGTGGTTATGAAATTCATAACCAGATTCACAGTATTTAGGTTGGCAGAGTAAGGCTGGGATTCAGTGATGGAAATGAAGAACAATTTAAGAAAAAAATTCCAAGATTTCTTGTGTTTACCATGTGGCAACTCGTTTAACAAGTATAAAATAATCTACTAGTACACAGTAGAGAAGGTTGACCATATAATCAGTCAATAAGCAGCAATCTGTCTTTCCATCTCCTTCCAGCCCCCTCAATTCCAAAAATAAATACAGCTGAACCATAAGCCACAGAATTTCTTCAAAAATAAAAATAAAAGAGACATAAAAGAATAGTAAACGCTGGACATGGTAAATCCCATGCAAGCCAAATTTAAGAAAACAGTAACACCGTTTAGGTACCTAGAGGGGGCTCCGGTGATATACCAATGCTTTGCAAAAGAGCCTCTGTCTCTCTGCGTTTGCGATCCAGATCAGAGTCGTCCTGAACAGGTTCTTTCTTTTGCTGCATATCAGCCTAAAAAGAGTAGATGCCAGTAAAAAAAGTTAATAACAGAACTAAGTATATGCTTTTCCTGGCTTAAACTGAAAGTGGTAAATGAGTGGCAGTGAAGACCAAGCAAAAGCCATAAATAGATATAATCATGTGTATAAAGGATGAAAAAACACTGCAACTGCTCCACTTAATAATTACTAACCCCGTGCTTTCTCTTTTGTTTGAAGGTTTTTTTTCCCCTGCTTTTATCGCATGGTATGAAAGTTTCTCTCACTCAGTTTTGAAAGAAACCATCAGAGTTAAGTATTTCTGACTGGGATGATATGGATTATTATTTTTTTAATTGTTTGCCTTTTTCAACCCCATTGTCCCTTCTGGGAAGACATACTATCTATCAATTCTTGATGAGTGCGTGTTTATAAAATTCACGCCCCATGTTGGAATTATGAAAACAAAGAATTACTGGGATCTGGCTAAAAAATAAAACTAGTTCTGAAATCTGTAACTGTAAAATACACTCTGTATCAGCAATCTAATTTTACCATGGTTTAAAATAAACCATGCTACAATATTTATTGAGGCATGTGAGCAATATTGATATCTAAGTGTTGTTACTTAATTCTGATTTTCACAGGCTTCCATTAAATATATTAACTCAAGGGAGAAAATTATCTTGTAGAAAAATATAGAATAAAAAAATCATTCAGAAGAAATTTCCCAAATTCTGTCAAACAAACACAGGGCTTCATATAGACAGATCCTATGTCTGGTTCGTGTTTTCTATAGGATAGGAACAACAAAATACAGGTTAAAGAAGGTCATCTGTGGGATTCTGGGCTAATTAAACATTCAGGTCTTTTCTTTTTCCTAACACAGTTAATTGCTTAAGACAAGGCATTTATCCCACATCTGAAACATGGTAACATCCTGCTTCATGATAAAGCTTTGAGAGTTTACAAAAGTGAAGCTATCTTAAGGTTGTCAAAAGCCAAGTATCCAGTTACCAAACACACCCTTCTCCCCAGGGGCAAGTTGGGTACCCTAACAGGTATATTATCTGCTTCAAGGGTAGCCGGGTACATTTCAAAGCACCAAAGCATAATTTACATCGTGGCATCTGAAGCAGAAAAAGTCCATGCAACTTTTACTTCCAGATGACAACCTACACACTGATTATAAGCAAAATGCATCTCTGCATATAATGCTGGGCTCAACACTTTGGTTATTATTCATCTCAGGCTTAAAATGCTCTCATATTTGAAGTCTATCTGTCATTTGAGGAAAAACTGTCATTGTGGGGGTTGATGAAGGCTAATGAGAGCACTAGAGGCTTTCTGGCACTCTCACCTAGCCCAAAATTCTGAAATGACAGCTTAATCTCTATCCGTGAAGATAACAAAGTTCACATTCTTTTCCAATTTTAACATTTAAACTTGAAGAAAGTTCCAAAGTATATGCGCACAACAGAGGCAAAGACAGAACTAAAATAGGAAGAAGGGCCTTGCAGAGTGAGGATCTATATCAACATTCACATATCAGAAAGTTAAAAAAAGGAAGGAGGAAATCAAACAAAAGGGAATTACCATAGAAGTTACTGAAATACAAATGGAAAAACTAAGATAAGCAAAATCCATCTTAGGAAGCCAGTATGAAACAATATAATTTTACAGTGGAGAGTTTAGCCATCACTGGACTTTCAGCTTTACTGAGAGCAGATATGTGTTTATTTTGTTCACCACTATATCCTCACAGTAAAGCTGAGAGGTTAAGTGTCTGACTTGAGCTCCGGTCATTAGCTCTCAGTTCAAGAGTTTGAGCCTCATGTCAGGCTCTGTGCTGACAGCTCAGAGCCTAGAGCCTGCTTCGGATTCTGTGTCTCCCTCGCTGCCCCTACCCTACTCGTGTTCTGTCTGTCTGTCTCTCTCTCAAAATTTAACATTAAATTTTTTTTAATGTATTGAATAAATGAACAATTACCTCCCTTTGGTAATTGTTATTCTATAACTATAGAATCTCAGAATTCTACATCCTTCCACCAACTGCACTCTGTTCAGCAAGCGCCTTTACAACAGCACTGTTAGGAGTCCTCTAAACTTTCAGTGACCCAGTGTTCATAACAGAGTCATTGCTATATCCTAGCAACAAAAAAAGTCATTAACCTTTCCTCATTCTTTTAACAAAAACGTAGTGAAGGACAACAGAGTGTCAACGGTAATGAGACAAAGAGGTTCTAATGGAGCTTAAATAGAGCGAACCGAAGAAGATCTGCCTAATCCTTTCCTTTCCAATAAACTTAGAATATATTATCTAAAACTTTCTGTCATGTATGTCCTATGCAGAAAGGCACAGAATTTTTTTTAATTTATTCTTTAAGCATTAAACATTTAAGAAACACACTAGAGGGCATGTCACACATCAGCATGCATAACCATACACTGTGCAAAAACAGCACACCTGAACTCCTCCTCCAAAATTTCATTCCTTTTCATACAGGTGCCTCTACAACTCATTCTCTGCCTTCCACCTTCTTTAATTCTTAAGGAAGAAGGCAATATAATGACATATATTAGTAAGGACAAATGTCCATCTAGATGTAACAAAAGCTTAAGAAAGCTATCAGCACTCAAAGGTGACAAGGAAAATGCAAACTTAGGTAACTGGGGCTTATTAGAAATAAAGGCAATTCCTATCTGTTACTAATTAGCACCTTAAACTAAACAGAGTGATACTACATCCAAGGCAGTTAGTTATACCAAGTGCTCTAGTCACGAAACTTTTGATTTTCTCCATGTAATTACTGTAGAATCCCAATATATTTTAATGACTCAATAGGAGTGATTTCACAGTGCTAGCAATTAAAAAATGTGCTAGGTGTCTTTCCCAGAAAACGCTATTTCTGTTTGCAAAGAGTAATCACAGCTGAGACCCAGGGAGGAAAATCAAAGAAAGCAAATTTGTCAGCTGAGAACTGTCAGTCACTTTTTCAAAGATAGCTCCATAGTTATTAAAGGAACAAGTGAGGACAGGCCAGGAAACCTCTGTCCGTCCTACCTTACAGCAATCCAGCAGAAGGCCAAGGACAGGACGAAACTTCAGGGTGGCCCCATTAAGGACACCTCATTGCATTAAAGCCAATTTTTCATGAAGTTGGGACTGAATCTGAAATGGTGGCCACTATATTTATTTTGAAATCATATTTCATCCATAATACCACAACCAAAAAAACAGTTGACATCCAAAGAAGCACAGAGTGGTAATTTTATACATGTATAGCTTTCTGGATTCTGTGGAGATAATCAACCTAGGTGGTCCTAACTCACACCAGTTTTCAGTCCTGGTAAAAAAATAGTCACTCAGATTGGCATTAAGAAGCATTTTGTTTCCTTTTTATTCTAAATTTGTGTCATTTAAAATATAAGCTTAAATAAAGTTAAAAATCAAGCCTATAAGTTAAGGCTATTGCTAACACTCTACAAACACCACAAAAACTAGAAAATCTTAAAACTCAGGAGTCAGTGACAGTTGACTGGGGCATCCCATAGACTCAAGATCAGAATTTCCAAGGATATTTGCAGGAAAGAATTCCAGATGTTTGGAAAAGGTGTCTGTGACCAGCATCTCAGACTAGTGCTAACTAGTTGCTGTGTTCACTCATGCACTCAATCATTCTTTGTTTAACCCTTTATTGAAGTCCTGCTAGGTGGCAGGATCTGTGCTAGACATTCACTTGAAAAACACCAGCCCTGTCCTCAAAAGCCTGCCCTCTCTTAGGAGAGAAAGACGAGTGAAGATGCAAACATACTGCTTTGTGCTAACTGGTTTGATGAGGTCAAGGATAGGGGCTGGACTAACTAGGTATAAGAGAAGGTTTTCTGGAGGAAGTGACGTTTGAGGTGAGAACTGAAAGACAGGTAGTTAACAGTCAGGAGAAGGACAATAGAGAGAAGTAGGAGAATGGTACAAGCAGTAAGTAAATATTCACAAACTCCCTGTCAAGAGAGAGTGTGGCCCGTACGGGATATGTGAGTAGCTGAGACTGGCCAGAATGTGGATTTAAGGAGAAAGAAGATGGGGGAGAAAAGAAAGTGCTGTCTTGTCCATCCAGGATCTGATGACCACTATAAGTTGGAGAAGGGGTAGTAAAAGAATGACCCCAGGTTTCTGTTTAGGGCCACGGGCTGGAAGAGGGGATCCTTCCTGAGACTGGAGATAAGGGCGGCTACCCTTAAGGCTTTGACTTCTGGGGCCCAGCATCCTCATTTGAAAATTCCAGGTTTCTTGCAGCTACAAAATGCTGTAATTCCAGGAAACTGGAAGACTTGAATTATAAGATCCATCCAATAACAGTATTTTTGGAAAACGGCCTCATCAGCAGGATCCTGATAAATGTATGTAGCCAACCGTACGGGGTTGCATTCTCCTATTCTGCTTGCCAATCTCAGGAGCAGAATAACCACTGCTTCTTACTGACCAGTTCCTCTGTGCCTTATGTTCTCCTTACATCCTCACAGAACTCTGTGAGGTAGGCACCAATATTTTCCCCATTTTACACAAGGGAGAACAAGGTCAGAAGGGTCTCATACTCACTCAAGGCCATTCTGTGAAGGGCAGAGCCAGGTTTCCCAGCCACATCACCTCAAAAGCCTCGGGGCAAAATCACTGAATTTTCCCGCCTCTGTCTTACGGCAAAGTCTGCTCAGACAAACCAACTCATCACAGTCTACAAAAGTTACTCTGACCCAATTAAGGAAAGATCTTTTGCAGGGGGAAATGGGTTGCTGAGGAACAAGACAGGCTTTAAGGATGGTGTCGTCCAATGAATCGCAAAGTCTGGCCCCGGTCGGACCTTTCGTATCAAAACCTTTGAGATGGAGAGTGAGGGCTCTGTACTGCCACGGGAGCCCGTGGAGCAAGGTCAGGATATGACAGGCTTAACCCTGTGGAAACAAGGAAACTAAGACCGTTGCTTTAATTCCAGGCCCAGAAAATACAGAGCCCAGGTGTACCACACTCCCCACCACCTGCCACTGGCAACCTCCTAGGGCTCCATCTGCTGTGTAACGGGCCAAATCTCCATTGGGCAAAGCTGCCGGGTACAGAAACAGAAAGGGTGGCCCGTTTCGATCAGCCTTGTTTGCCTGCAATTCCCCGCGTCCCCCCCCCCCCACCATGGGTGAAGTGACAAAGACAAGGCAGACAGCATAATTTGGAACCGGATTTCCCATACCACATCACATTTTGTAGTGATTCTATGAAATTCAAGTTGGATATTAGAACGTCAGTTTAAAAGGAAACTGGTTATTAGTAAAGGATAACAGGTGCTATAAAACTACAGTAAGTGTTGACATTTGAAGGAAAGGAAGCATAATAACCTAATGCCTTTTTTGGCTTTGCCTGGAAATGAATAGCCATTCCTTGTCAATTCTCACCTCTACTTCACTCAAAGACTGCATACATAATAGCAAAGATCACCAAGAGAAAAACATTATGTGCACTGTCAAGGACAAATAAGACGTGGCATCAATCAAAGTGTAATGGAACGGGAGAGATGTGAGATGGCAGGAGGCTAAAACACAATTGCAATTATGTTTTACTTTGTTGGGAAATAATTGTTACAAATCTGTTACCTTGGTCTCACACCCTTATAGTATGAAACAGAGCCTATCTAGATTGTAAGGCATCAAAAGACATTTTCTTTTTCCTTACAGAAAGACTCCAAGTATGGGACAGCTCTGGTTTCTAAACACACGAGTATATCACACATAAAGTTTCCTTCTCAGAAAACTATTCCAAACCACCTTTGGCGTCTGGTTTCTGTACAAGATGTGGGCTATTTCTACATGACCGCAACAAATTGGAGAATTAAAAATAAATTATTTGTTGGATTGAGCTAGGAGAAGAAAACATGACATGACAGCAACGCGCTGAACTGGGAATCCAGAGCCCTGGATTCTGTGTGTGGCAGACAGAAAGTGATATTTCATCTCTGGGTTTCTGCTGCTTTGTGGGCATAACGAGGGGTGTCAGTAGAAAGCCTCTAAAATCTCTTCTAGTTTCAAAATGTCATAATTCTGTGTCCATGGAGCAGAGTCTACTACCATACTACCTACCCTCTCCCCAAGAGGGGGACATACTGCTTTCCCTCTATCAGACCTAGGATCCTTGTTTATGCTGAAAAACACACATCCCTTAGGAAACCATGGAGATCCATTGGCATCATTTTTCTATTGTTCTCCTAAAATGTTCTGGCTAGTAGTTTGTGTGTGTGTGTGGTGTGCGTGTGTGTGTGCGTGTGTGTGTGTGTGTGTGTGTGTTTTAATGTTTGTTTATTTTTGAGAGAAAGAGCTTGCAAGCAGGTGAGGGACAGAGAGAGAGGGACACAGAGGATCCAAAGCAGTCTCCGCACTGTCAGCACAGAGCCTAATGCGAGGCTCGAACTCACGAACTGTGTGATCATGACCAGAGCTGAAGTCAGGCATTCAACCAACTGAGCCAGCCAGGCACCCCAGGCTAGCAGTTTTGAAAATTTTTTTTCTTAAAACTAACACATATTGGGGCTCTTGGGTTGTTCAGTCGGTGGAGTGTCTGACCCTTGATTTTGGCTCAATTCATGATCCCACGGCCTGTGGGATCAAGACCCTCATCAGGCTTCATGCTGAGCATGGAGCCTGCTTAAGATTCTTTCTCTTGGGGTGCCTGGGTGTCTCAGTGAGTTGGGCATCCGACTTTGGCTCCGGTCATGATCTCTCAGTTCATGAGTTTGAGCCCTGCATCGGGCTCTGTGCTGACAGCTCAGAGATACTTTTTAAGAGCCCTAACACATATTAAACACTTATCAGAGCCTGGGTACTACCAAGTGCTTTACAAGATTAACTCTTTTAATTCTCACAACCCCCCAAAAAAATATATATTAGTATTCCTATTTTAAGGATAGGAAACCAAGATACAGAAAGGTTAAGAAATTTCTAACAATAGAGATTTCACGGACCACTTTCAGGGTGCTATTCAAGTCTAAGGTGAACCTGGGGCTTGGAGACCTCTGGGCCGTAGGTGGTGCTTGGCCAGGACACAGCAGGTGACAACGATCTCGTTACTCTGTGTATGCAGATACCCACTCATTTTATTCAGAGATCCTAGAAGGATTCTTCTAGAGCATCCTCTTAATCATTTGACCAGTCCCTTAGAATCAAGTGATTTTCCTTTTTCCCTGCAACACCCCAATACCCAGTATTTACCTCTTTCTTTTTCCTCTCTTCTTCCTTCCGTTTCTTCTCTTCTCTTATCTGTGCTAAGCGCTGTTTTTTGCGCTCTAGCTCAGCTTTTAAATCACTTTTGTCAGACATGTTGGTTTCCTTGGAGGAAAAGAAAAAAAATGTGAATATATAAAAATAACCTTTCTGTATTATCATTGAAAAAATCATTCAAAAGCTTGAAAATGTGACTTTTTGACCACAACAGGTTGTATTACGTAGCCTATGTCGAAGAATCAAAGAAACAAATGAAGTTAGATCTGGTCTCATGCTATGTAAATACCTTCCTTTTTATGTATTCATAAATATTTGAGGAAATACAATGGTATAATCTGTTCTGGTCTGAAGAATAATAGCAACTTCAGAATAAGCAAGACACTTTCTGTGCAAGTTTCTTAACAAATAAACAACAAATAAATAAATAAATAAATAAATAAATAAATAAATAAGAGAATCAAAAAAGAACTTTCACCATGACTTCCAATTTAGACGATAATGCACCAATTCATCCCCACACTGAGAAAAGAACATAGGCTGTCATAAACCCTTAGAGATGTGCCCTGCTCAAATTTCTATGGACTCAGTAAACATTCCTCCACTGAGCCTGGGCACATAGATTTCATTTTGCCTAGCATTGTATGCATCAGGGAAGACAGCCACTAAAGACCTACCATGTTAATCTTCTTTTTCTGTAAAACTCCTCCCAAACTGTCACAATTAATTTTGTCTCCAGTACAATCCTATCTCTATAAAACGTTCATCTGCATACTGAACGCAATCGTGCTTATCCTGGCACTTTCCCTTCCAAAGCAAAAGATGTCTATGAACACACGAAATAGTAGGTAACACCATGGCAAGTTCTTGGGAAAATTTATCTGAGTGAAATTTAATTTCTACGTTAGTGGGGATGGTGATGCCAATGGTGATGATGCCAGAAATATTTGCAAATACAATGAGTTCAGAGAATACTGTCACCAGTTACCAATGATTAAATTTGCCTGTTTCATGCTCTCAATTGGAAACTAAGAAAATGGAAACACTGAGAAATGAAGAACCCCCCTCTGACCCAAATTCCAAAAATAAAGCAAAAAACCAAAAAAAATCCAAAATGTCATGAATATTAATTTACATATTATTTATATGCAGCTATGATGAATATATAATGAATCCCTAAGTAGATGACAGAGGAATGAAAGGCAAAAAAGAAGCAAAGAATACAAAAGAATGAAATATCTTCAAACTTCCTGTCACTGCCTTTAGAAGGTATCAAGAAGCTGCAGTTACCCGAAGACACACTTCCCCAAAAATACTCATAGTTGGAAAATGCACTTTACTGTACATATTCCTTCTGGTTCATGGTGTAATGGCAAAGAATTGTGAAATAATAGCAATAATAATCACAATAATTAATCTTTGTAATCAATTCATGAACACACCCTATCTTCATTTCTCAACAAATATCATCGAATAATTAATCTTTGCCAGGCATGGTCTAAGGCATCAGAGTACAAAGATGAGGAAAATCAGATTCTCCCCTTCAAAGAGTGCATAACTGCACTTTGTAGGCATGTGGGATGGCTGGAGATGTTCTCTGAGATACTGGCCTGTGGGTTTCTGAGTGCCAAACATTTATTTGTTATCACATTTAATCATAACAATCCAAGAAGACCAGTGTTGTTATTAATACCTTGCTTGCATTTCAGATAATGGAGGCTCAGCAAGACCTAAGAACGCATAGTCAGTACATGGCAGTAGCAAAATCAAGCGTGCCCATGCTCTGAACTACTCCACTCTGCTGATTCCAACGTACAAGTTAGGCAGAATGCAGAGCAAAAGAATAATTAAGATCTACTAAAATGAGCAAGCATATGCTTTGAGGAGGAGAGGAAATGTAAGGTGGATATCAAATGAGGTCAGAAACTAGCAAAGAAGGGAAGATACCGATATGCAAAGACCTATAGAATGGGAACCAGCAGGCTAAGAGGTGTGGATGAATCCAAGCCAAGAAATATAAACTTTAGTTGGTAAGAATGTATTTGTGGCGGCAACAGGTAAAGCCTTTGGAAAACAGAAGAGTTCCATTTGGTATAATGAGAGATGGGAAATCACAGCAGCTTTTTGAAGGGGAAAGTGACCAAGTAAAAATGGAATCTGCTTAAGCCTACTCTTGTCCCCGCCTGGAAAACAGATAGGAGCAGAAACTAGAAATCAAGCAAGCTGCCTAGAGTCTGGTGATCTACCTGGATCGATTGCACCTGCATCAGGATGGTGGGTGGATGTAGAGACCGAATGTAAGGAATGTGGGCAGATGAAAGCATGCTAAGAAGGAAGAAGTAACTCTTGATAGCCTTAGATATGGAAGCAAAAGAGAAAGACTCAGACACAATTCAACTTTGAGAAAGCAAGGAGGATAGCAGCGAAGCTGGAAAGAGAAGGCAGGAAAGAAATAATGAAAAAAACTTGTAGTATGCTGTGATTTGGGAGTCAATGGGATTTCTGGGCAGAAAGAATGCATAGATACTATAGATGGGATGAGAAGCGGGATGGGGACCGGAGCTGTGGAACAGAATTCTGAGTCATCCACCTACGAAGTTTAAAGCTGAATCACAAATTCAAAGTCCTACAGGAGCCAGGCAGATAACATGAGGACACAAAGCAGTGATTCAGACCAGGCAGAGTGGAAATAACCTGCCTGAAGAAAGCTCTATCCAGCTCCATGGTTGACATGGAAAAATATGAATCAAAGCAGTTAGATCTTCTGGTTTCTTTTTAAGAGAAACCATGGAACTGACAAAAATCAGGTTTATCACTAAAATATCATTTGCCAATAATTTTCAACACCACTGGGCAAAATTCCTGGCAGGAGAAAATATGACCCTAATTCCAGAAGCCATCTGTGAAATTACATATACTCTTCCTTCTCCCATGGGGACCAATCAGATTTATGTTTTTGACATTTTTTGGCCGTCAGAAATGAAATGTCCAATCAAAAAGATCACTATTAAAGCAATAATTGTGTCATTCTGAACACAGCCAGTGGAAACTACTTAGAATTTTCTCCCACACATTTCCCCAGTTGCAATTGGACTTCTTCTAGTCCACCGAAAGGGCCTGCCACAAATTCAGCTATATACTATGGTCATTAAGGAGCAAACCATGTAATAAGAACATCCTATATTTGTTGTGATTTTCTGGTTGACCTTCATTCATGAGCAGGAAGTAAAGTGTATATTTAGTACATTTCTGCAAAAAGCAAAGTTCTTCTTACAACTGATAAACATGTCTGACCATGCTGGTAATTTAAGTTGGTGTTACCAGCCACACAGCAAATATTTTTTAAATAAACAACAAAAACGCCAACGGAACTTTTAAAAAGTATTAGGTAGTGATGTTTCAAGTAACACACTTTTTAAAGGTCGTAGAGACACAATGGCAAAAGATAGCTGTAGAGTATTTTCCACTTACTGACTTTTTGGATCTACTCCAAAATAGACATTTTGCACCAACACCAAGTAGAATAAGAAATCTCAAGAGAACACCTCATAAAGGGTTTGGGAAGTACACATTAGAGTAAATGAATGGCCCTTTACACACAGTAAAAAGGCTGCAATCGTGGCACTAAATGCAGTGTCAGCACTAAACTCCCCAGGCTTTCCCGGGGGGCTTGCCACTCCGACTCACTAAATCTCCCTGCACATCAAGCAAAGCAAATTGAGGAGCAAAGCATGGGGGACGTGAGTTATAGAGCTTCCTGTGGCTAATGTAGGTCATTGCAAAGGCAATTCTGATGCTCTCAGTTTAAGAAAATAAGAGTCAGAGCTACCTGCTGCTAATTATTGCTCACCTACTTCACACACACACACACACACACACACACACACACACACACACACAAAGCTGGTCTCTTTCATTTAAAAATTAAAAAAGGGGTCAGGAGAGAAATCACACCCACCTCTGGGTGTAAGTCTGTTCATCAACCTACTCTGCCACCAACCAGCCAACTACAGTTTACCTCTCCCCTGTCTTAGGAACAATTACAGCTCAGCCTCACCCACTCCATCCATTCCAGGGTCAGATGATGTACTTTTATGATGCCTGTTCAGCTCTCCTCAGAGCAGAGTCCCATATTCCAAATTTGTTTTCTGTTGGTGACATTCCTCTTATCCACACTCTCTTACAACCTACCTTCACTTACCCAACTCTCACTTTTTACCTCCTTCCACCCCTGCATTTTAGCTCACACTCTCCTACAAATTCTCCAGATTTACTACTGCTGAATACAACCCCACTTCATCTCTTTTCTTTCTTTTCTTGTCCCCCAAGTTACCCACCCCTCAACAAGAGATATCCAAAAGTTCAAATCAGCTACTCCATGTCCTCTGGGCTCCATACACTAATCCCCAACACTTATTATTGTTTTTTTTTCAAATTTCAATTCTCTACTTCTGATTCCCCCCCCCTTTTTTTTAAAGCAGAACATTATTATATTTCAACACACAACTTCTGTACAACCAAAATTAAAACATCACAGTAAGATGTTGGAGACAAAACACGGCATTTCATTTACAATGCATGGCAAATGGTTAACATTCCTTAGTCATAAATAGTCTCTTACAAACCAGTAACAAAGACACTAATATTCCAAGGGAAATGAAAAAAAAAAAACAACACAGAGGAAAATGAAATAACAAATGACTATTAAGGTTTAAGGACATATGAAGATAATTGAACTCAATAACAGAATAAAAGCAACTTCTTTGTAGTATCACATTGACCAAGATTAAAACATTGACATCTAATGTTTGCACAGTTTTAGAAAACAAAACAAAAAAAACACTGGGAGACAAGATTGATGAGGACAGTCTATACAATTGGGGGGAAATCTCTACTTTTGACTCAAAATATAAATTTTGGATATGATTAATTCCAATGAAGTGGATATACTAGGACTATTTCAACAAATTATTTGGAGAAATTCAAAATAATTTACATATAAGCATGTTCACTGCACAGAAAATTTGTAGCTAATGGATTTCTCTTTTTATCCCTGGTTCAACCTTTATTCCCTTGCTTCACTATAACTCATCTCCACC